TAACGCTCCGCGTCATGTTTCACGAGAGATTAGTAAATTTATTTAGTCAAGTAGTCTGGTTCACTTATTATTTGTCTTCAGACTTCAGAAAAGATGCGTGACTCTGAGGCCCAGTTCATGCAACTTCCTCCTAATATCCCGGATCTCATCTTCATTGAAAATCTGTTTTCTGTTTTGAAGAGATAGGTCAATGTGCTACCTATGCATTGGACCTTGGAGGTAAAAGTGCGATACGTAATAGAGCACAACATAGAAAATGACTTCATAACAAAGTTGGTGGGTTTGACACCGAAGAGACTCAAAAAGTTCTAAAGAACAAAAACAGACTAATCGACTACTAGTGTACACAAACTTTACATCTTGCTTATTATCAATGTTAATTTGTTGTTAATAAAAACTGTTCCATTCTCTTTAGTGAGCCCTCAACTCATCATGGTCTTGGTCAACCACTACTGACTAGATGGAAGTATCCGCTACATTTTGAACCATTCCATCTGCTGAGTATAAACGATTCAGGAAAATCACGGATATGAAGACTCTCCAAGACTTGTTTGTTATTAGTTTTGAAAAAAAAATTTTATTCATTATAAATATTGTTGCCCATACGAACCGATAAGTGTTTCACGGGGACCTGTTGCTTCAGTTTCGATTAGACCTGTATCCTAATACACCAAAACATTACTCCAATGTGTGGGGGTTAAACACACGATGATAGTGTATACATTCTTTGGGAAACCTGAATCGGCATGTTGTGAGAACGTCACGAAACTGACAACGGCAAGTGCGTTTACGATGTTGGAACTTTCACTCTATGTAGTGTTTGTTTTGAAGCAGTATTCATAATTTCATTACATGAAAACTCTTACCATGAGTCAAGTTACAACGACTGAAATGTTTTCAGTGTAATTGTCAGCCGATCTTCCCAGATATTTGAAGCTTTCCTCAGCTCGGTGTTACTCGTGGACGCGGGCAAGGAAGTGAATCTGGTGAATATTGTTATCCTCATTAATAACAGATATCAACTGAATACAAATTCCGACAGAACTCATCATAATTATGTCACTACTTCCCGAAGAGCATCCGTCTCTGAAATGGGAAGATTTTATAAACAAAAAGTGCAGTTTTGGTGCTTGAAAAATATTCGTGAGGGTTCAATGATTTTGTGCAAAAACAATATCTGTCCCGTTCTCATTTTCTACTTACTTTCACTCGATCTTGATGAGCCACAAGCAAAATTTTGGCACATTCATTCAAAAGGTTGGCTTGATCCAGTACCAAGACACCCAGAGGACTCTCAGCCAATTGAATTAAATTTCTTTTCAAAATCATATGCCACTCAATAATCAGACTGGAACAATGGGTTTCCATGTTTTTCGAATGTTGGTTTCTGGGTGCATTTGTTGTTTTGTTTTGGAACAACGCATTGATCGATTTGATTGGTGTATAGGACGAAACAGATACATACAGAACATTCAATTAGAATATAATTTCGCTTGGTAATATCGATAGTTTGTTTAAGCGAAATAATAATAATTGCACTCTGTTGTCACACGTAACGGTAGCATATTGACCACCTTACCGGAAAAAACCTCAAGCAGTGAACCTTTGACAAACATTTGTTGAGGACACCCTACTCACTGCTATGTGCCAGGGTTAGGGTCTTTAGAGTTTGTCAGTGAAAAGCCAGTATCCGGAGCTTCGTGAGTGCTTTGATGAACCTCGAGTAGTTGAATTCAGTCACTTGAATTCACGCAGTTTTTGATGCCATCTTTTGATTAGCCATTCGAATGGAGCAGAGAGAACAGTTTGAACCATGGGGATACATCTCATCCGGGGGTAATTACAAGACTCTAATTGGAAACCTATCAAAATGAGTTGCACGAATGGGCTCACGGACAACTGAATGGCAATGAAAACGTGTTTGGTTTGGTGACAGGGTGTATCGGTTGTTGTATCGGTCGTTTGGACGTGGTGGTCTTCAAAAGCCACCGAACTACCTTGTGCATCAGGCTCGTTGTTGAAACACGCGATTGGTAATCCACTAGGAATTACCTGGTCACGAACGAACCTTGAACTTTGCCCTTTATTATCAAAGGGTTTATGCCGTAGTTGCTCTGGTATAGTGTCTGGATCCAGAACGGTGATTACTAGTGTTTTAATAATACAAATTATTATTCACATAAGTCAGAAGCGCTGTTTATTAATTCGTTACCTATTTCAATTTGTTTTCTTCTTGCAATAAGCTAATCGAAACCCATCATCAGTTGTTTCAGCTTATCAATTGCTGTTTCAAGCCGTTTGAAATTTGAAGAATTTCGATTGATCTAAGGGCATGAGGCTCGTACTTAAAAACCAGAGATGTATTGAGGATTGGTCCTTCAAGTTAAGAGGGTTCTCGCATAGCAGTGATATCAACCACACGTATGTTTTTATGGTCTAAGCGAAACTCTACCATTTGATCGGAAAAAGTTTGAGACTTGGTCGTTGATGAGGAAACTTTGCCATGCAAGCAACCGGATAAGCTTACNNTCTTTGAATTACTTTATACGGAGTGTTTAGCTCAGTTTTACCACGTATGCCTCTCCACAGCACCAAAGAGAAACAGGTTTTCTGCTGACTTACCCTCACTGCATTGACTTCCGCGTTTCATTTGATCTTCAGGACGCCTTTATCAAAGCCCATAATGGTCTGTCTCCAACGATAATGAATTTAACGTTACCGAATGTAAAGTCCTATCATTACGTCACAATGGTGGTTTTTCTACACTCTTAGACACGAAAATCTGCCTCATGCTTCAGCCGAGAAGGATCTGGGAGCAGTCGTTCGCACAGAATTCAGTTTTTCCACAAAATGTTCCAGGATATTGCCCATGGCGGTAAAACAAGTTGGACTGACTAAAAGTGTTTTTAGATCGTTTGAGCCGGCTTATTTTCCCAGTCTGTCAGCCACATATATCCCTCCATACACCGAGTACTCACTCAATTCAGGCCTGTAACCAACGGCTGCAGTGAGATCGGAAGGCGCTTGGATATCCGCAGAGAATGGCTACTAAGATTAACAAAGTTCTACATTCCAAGACTCATGGCGGAAGATTACATCTATTGAGGCTATACTCGTCTCAAAATCATCAAATCAGAGGTGATACAATCTTACTGTATCGGAGGTTCCAACAGCCCATCCATGTAGATCTATAATTTTCTCAACAAAAGTTCATCTCAGAGGGCATCCCCTGAAGTTGGCATCCTAAAACAGCCGTCGCGACTGCAGTCGCCATTTGTTTGCAGTAAGAGTGTGCAGAACATGGAACTCTCTACCACCTCACGTGGTCTGTGCGCTAACATTAGTATCATTCAAGCGTTAGCTTGATGATGCTCTGGCAAACATTGTTTCAACACCCAACAACATAATATATTCTGTGCTCGTCACAAAAATGACATTACTGTTTTATGTACATGGACTAACTGTGATTTTGTGAATCGTGTTCCGAACCCAAAGTTTAAACACCTTAATGGGATTTGATAAGCCACGTCTTCATAAGTTTTTCCCATAACAAAAATTTGAATTTGCTTAAAATCGCAAGGAAGCACACATCGGTAGGGCTTACAGGATGTTTGGCACAAGGATGCCTGAAAACATTTCCGAATAGTTTCTAAAAGCGATGACTCAACCTAACTAACCCAGCCTAACCGTAGTACGTACGCTGCACTCAGCGAGCGCTTCCGAAACCAAAAGCGTATTGTTGCAAGGGCAACCAAAGCGATGCGTTCACTATTATGTATTACGTTGACGCAATCCGTCTGGATTACGGATATTTGAGACTTTATCGATTCTTCATATTGAGTCAATCGTGAACATCTCCAAACACCTGACGCAGCCGCTAAATTCACCTCTCCTTTTCCCATTCATTCTTAATCTGTTTTTTCTCACTTATACATGTCTAAAGGATATTCCCTTATCCAAATGTGCCATTTAGCCTGCAAGGTGATAATTTTGTATGTATGTATGTATGTATGCATGTATGTATGTATGTATGTATGTATGTATGTACATTACAGCTCGTATCGTTGGTCTCTTTAGAAAATGGTAAAAAATGCACATAGAGAAACGACAGCCGCAGTACTCGTGGAGAAAAACGGTATGATATAATCAAATACCAGTAACTATGGGTTTGAGCTTTACTGCGGCTTGCCACTAAAACATCCCATTCATACAATGCTCCAATCCGGCTCAGTAGCTAATCCACAAAGCCTATTGTCAAATCTGTGGTTTTCCAGTAACTGATTATCCTGTCTATTCTCCCTATCAAACAAACAGAAATCTAGTCTCGTTGTGTAGGTAGACGGAAATACAATTTTTCACTTACTCAACTTTTTCACAGTTGGGGGGAATCTGACGGGGAATAAAGAACAGAAAATCAAATCAATAGAAAAAATCTCATGCTTGCATGTATGAACAAATTTGTATAAAAAGCACTGGTAACCGATACACGGATATTTGCAAAAAAAAATTCCTATTTTCACTTTGTGTCCACACAAATAAGTTTAAGCATTCTTGATTCCGGATCTTATTTGAGCACTCCTCCAAGGAGGCGTTTAGGCAGTGAGGGTGAGAGACAATGGGACTGAGCGTATGGTGTGCACACGAATATTGCTACAACCCCAAGTTTATCGTTCCCACACGGGTTTTCTAACTCATATTCCTCCAAGAAAGTTTCACATTCAATGTAAATTCCATCGTTAGTCATATAGAACACCGACGGAAGTGTTTTGGTGACTAATTACTGCNGCGCTCAATGTTTCAAGGAAAAAACAAGGTAGAGACAAATGGATGATTATAGTTTTACTAACGGTATCGATTTCTTCCTGGGAGGCAGACTATCTGATCTGGAGTGCGTAGACGACATTATACGGCTAAGTGAAGATGCGGGTAACTTACAAGCTTTTCTGGATAGTTTGAGTGCTAGTGTAGCCATGTTCGGTAAGTGTTTTAAGGTGTAAAACGTTGCTACCANCCTCACTATAACTAGGGAAGTAATAGAGCAGGTGGATAAGTTTTGTTATTTGGGCAGCTACATCTCACCCGGTGGACGCATCATAGATGAAGTGTCGGCACGCACACAGAAGAGTCGGTTGGCATTTGTCAGCTTGAGACATCTGTGGCGCCTTCGCGACAATGGCTGTCTGTGAAGGATCGAGTGAATGCCACGAAAGTTCGGCTTAACGGCGCACAAACTTGGTCATTAAGAAAACTGGATAAAGATAGACTGTTGATGTTTGAACACCGCTGTTTAGGCAGCATTGCCCAAATCTGGTGTGTAGGCCGGACGAGCAATGCTGAGGTTAGACGAAAAGTTTTAAGCAACTGCGTTCGTCCACCGGAGAAAGTGGTCGAACCCCATAGATTGTGGGCGACCAAAGGATGCAGGTATTTTATCAGAGATCTCAGAATAGGAGCACCAACCTAGATAGGAAATATAAACGATATCACAAGAGTATGAAAAAGTGTACCAATCTCAACCAAAGGTCCCAAGCGTTTCAACAATTGATTTTACCCAACTGCCACTCAGCAGTATAGTGTGGACACGAAAACAAAGACAGTAAATGTGGCGCAACAATTGTACTTCGTGTAAGCGCATTGTGATACATTGTCTACCGGTGATGAAACATTCAGTGAATAAGATCGATACAGACAGACTGAAGAAAAAAATCCCGAAGGGATGATGTTCCCGGTCATTTGATCCATATGACAGATTACACTGAATAAGCTCGGCAAGATTTTGTGGATTTTTTGCCAGTGTGACTAATGTAATCAGATTTGTCGAGAAATACTTATTAAGCGGTGGTGGTGTGGCCGTAGTGTCACCGAATTATCACCGCGGGGAATTGTGTTCGAATCCCACCACCACCACCGACACGAATTTCCCCTTTGTGTGTTGAATGGCAGCTCCCATTGATTGGTCTATTTCCCCTTGCTGAAAATCGTATCTTTGTATATTCAATAAAAAGAGGTAAAATGAAAAGAAAAAAGGATCAGACTAAGAAAGAAATAAAGTGTTCCAGTCTGGAGGAATTTTAATGACCCATTCGAAGCTCACCATCTATTCGGATCTGATAGGTAGTGATAACCACGTCAACACTCCTGTCGGTTCACTGTCATATCATTCTCATGTTTTCTACCAACCACTTACACAGGGATTTCGTCCTCAGCCTGGAAGACGAGACACATCAGCCATAGTGAACCTCTCCTTGTATTATCACCTTGTATTACATTGCGTTTACATTGATGTTGATTGACCATTTCACATGTACCGTCGGGTCATGTTTTTTTCGAGCAGGAATAAATCAAACACGAAGAAAGAACGTATCAAACATGTTCAGCTGCGTTTAATATCTGAAGCTTATTGGACCAAAACATGAGCACTTGGAAAAGTTATGAACAAACGTGGTAGGATTCCACTGGGATGCATTGGTTGATTTTACTATCTACACCTCGTATCTGTTTTCCCCGAAACCACAGTTGTGATCACAGACACATTGAGAACGAGGATTGAAAACGTAAAAACAAATTTACCAGGGTTTTGAACGTTCGAACAGTCAAGTGATATATGGGCAGGACACCGGACAAACTGTCGTGGGAAGACAGCGTATTCAACAGTCCGCACAAATCAATCAGGGAAGTTGCGAATTCCGCGACCTCTGACCGGGAGGACAACTCGTCAGCAGATTTGATCACATATCGAACAATTGTTTGCAAGCGATCGATAAATCTTAAAGAAGCAAATGAGTGCAAAAAATATGAATAACAGGTCAACATGGTATCCCGTGAGAACGTGATGCACGGACTGATCGCAGCGAATCGTAATTATTTCATAATTCTCAATGGTAAATTAATTTATTAGAACACGAATTTAGCAACAAAATATTCTTCAAATTGTTGTTTAGCAGATTTGAAGTTTTTTGTCGACTGAGAAAAGCTCAATAGCCTAGGTGAGATTCAAAACCACACATGAACGTCGTCTACACTTTTGTACAGCGCAGCACGCTTTAATAGATGAGCTACGACATTACACCGATAACACTGATCTTTTTACATTCGGTGAACTTCGATGAATTCCGAGGGAAATTTGTGGCTGCAGTTAGCTTACATGCGAACTGTTGGATGCTATATGCCTCTGTAAGTTGGATGGGTAATACGAATGTGAACAGATCAGTGCAATCGGTGTAGCCTAGTAGATCTGCTGGTCGAGCGTGCGCTGTACAAAAGCGTAGACGGATTCCATGCGTGAAGTCGAATCCATCCAACCAACGCTACTGAACTCTTCACAATCGACAATGAAGTATTGTTCTCAAACTGTTATGAGATTAGGTTATTAGTAGATGTTCACATCAGATTATTCGAAAAAAAAGATGAAGCAGAGACAACCGGTTTGGAAACTAATTGGGAAGTCATTTTCAATTGGTTGGTAGTTACACCTCTTTTTGATGCATATCTACGCAAACTTATCTATTCGTTTTTGCGAGCATATACCGAAACCAATGAAAGGTCTTAATAACATTGNCAATGAAAGGTCTTAATAACATTGACAGAATGTTCCATGGGAAGTCAGAAAACCGGATATTTTGAGCTATGTCACCGTGAAAACAATAATGGTATTTTTAAGCGAGCTCTTCCACGGAGTCATTTTGGTCTCGATTGCCACTGACCAGAGAACGGTGAATGTATTTCGACTCTCTCTCCTTCTCTGTGTCGATAGTAACCTTGACACGTAAAGAAATTGAACTTAAACATTCATTCACATAGGAAACCACAACCAAAATCGAGCAAATCACCACATTCTTTACGGAATAACTTCAGTTTTACTGACTATAATCCGGGGAAAAAATGCACTCATGACTGTGTAGATCTGAATAAACAAAATATACTAACAGCACAATAATTTGAAACAGCATGATCAACCGTACAACTCATTTCGTTAATGTTTTGTATAAAAGAAGGCATCTATTTTCGATATAATCTCACAGAGCACATTCCAAATTTAAAAAAACAGATTGGAGAAANCAGAGATTCGTATTCATGACAATACATCTCAATATATATATATCACTTGGGAATAAAATTGAGAAAATAAAATAAAATCACAGATTACTGGAAACGATTTAATCGTGAGACCGGAAGTCGGGATCACCATGATCACATATTTTTTTGTCCATTCATCCGATCATCAAAATTTCTCGTGACATGGGGTGTGTGGAAGCTTTAGCGCTTGCTTAAATTGTTTTTGGACACACAGCAGAGAGTTGTGCAAACGAATGCCCACCGCGCCTGCTGTAGCCAACATCCGACAGTAAACCTGTATCGATTATAGCCCACGAACTTTGTACTGGGGTCAAAAAGCCTGGGGCACGTCCATAGTGATATTTGTTTCTTCTAGGTGTGAAATCACTGCACCGGGGAGTGACTTAGTCGTTTCGATGTTCAGCCACGCAGGGTGGTGTTCATGAATCTGTTCAGAAAATCGCCTAACCGTTTGATCTATGTACTTTGTTCCACAGGAATAATTAAATGAGTATACAAAGAATGAGACCGCAGAGTCTGGAACTTTGTCCCTCAGTCGCAAACAGTTGGCTTAAACGTGAACTTTACACGAAGCTTGTATACATAGAAAGTCTAATCGATGGCGTCGGATAATCTTATCTGTATGATCTCAGTTGATTTGTCTCCTTTGGACGGCAAAGAAACCTCAGTAAAGAGTTTTATGTGCACTGAATCATCTTATTGATTAAACGCTCCGAACAGTGACAATAAGATTTTTCTGTCAACAGAGTTAAATGCGTTTGTGAAATCAAAGAAACAAATATGAACCAGTTTGTTTTTGGTCTATAGCGGATAAAGCAGAATGTATAAGACAAGCAACCGCATCTAAAGTAGAGCGAAGCTTACAATAAGCAAACTGATTGGAATCACGAAAATAAAGATTAAACGATAGATGTTTCTCTCGCTCTGTTCTTTTTAGCCCGACAACAACGAAAGGAGACACGGTTGACTTTGTGTAAACCCTAATCGAAAGCCTCCCACCAAATCGGGTCTTCCTTGCAGCTTACAGCCCAACTGGTAACAAACTTACCGGGTTCGACTGATAACTCGCATTTAGCTCACAGGTATTTGTGATTAGTGGTGTGAGATAATTGAACTCACTGCCTCTCACTGATAGTGGCACTTGAACAAGCATGAACTGGTATTTCGCTTGAGCCCTGGAATAAGCTGGTTAACGCAGTGGTAATGGAACAGACTTCCATGCGATGGGTCTGGAGTTCAAATCGCGGACAGGACGGTGGATATACGCTAATGATGAACTCTAATAAGATCAAAACTCGAGTTTAGTGTTTCCGATCGTATGGTCGACGGGAAGAGCTGAGTAATTTGTGTGAAGATGGTGTCTGAAGGAATGTCAGTTTCAAACAATTTACATCCATTTCATATCGACGTATTTATTTTCAATCTCAAAAGTGATAACATTTATCCTTTTATGAAAACATTACCTTTCATTTGTGTCGGTCAGTGCGCCAAATTTGTGTAACAATGTGCGTCCTTCACTGTGAGAGACTAGATTGCGAAAAATATCCGTGTATGCGACCGCTTTTGATAGCCGCACGGGATCAGCCATATTCAGTGATGCAGTAGGCTGAAAATAAATTTGATAGACATCGATGATTTGCTACTTCGTGGGTAAATTTAGACAGGATCATTCGAAATAGTTGAGAGTGTGTGGAGGGAGATGTTACGTTTATTCAGTCAGACTTAGCATATTACAATACCATAAGTATGTCTATTGATTACAAACAAGCGTCGTCCAGGTCAACCAGATGATTATCAGTTTTCAATAAAACAAGAAATTCGATAACCAATATTTCAAATCCAAACACAATCTGGCAGAGCTTGAAATTATTCTATGAATTGTAAATAAGCAGTTTGTCATAATTTCAAGTCCTTTCTAGTACTACTCTCAAACCCCTAATCGTATGTACGATTAAAAATCTAGCCTTTCTTGAACCCTTTCAACCTTGCTCCGCTTATCACACCTACTTGCTATAAAAAGTATAGAGAATAATGATCGACTATTGATCAGGCTCAAATATCCGTTGCACGATAAGTTTAAACCTTTTTAAAAGTCATCTATTAAATCTGTATTCAATAAGTAGTAAAACCGTCAACATCCAGTTTAATGGAAAATGTCCATTGCCACATTGAAAA